GAGAGACTCATCTGACTGCGGGTGAAAAATTTGCTTCGGCGGCTGGATGGGAGTATGACCATTATGAATAAATACTTATTCAAAAAACGTCTACTCATATTCAAATGTTTTTATGTATTGTTACTTTAGGGCAGTGATAAAGGAAATGGGGCTGAGCCGCCTGATCAGCCCTGCCAGAGCGGCCAAGAAGTGGGAGAACCTGAAAAAGACCTACAAGGTTTGTTTCTTTGAAGCTAATTTGTGAAGCATTTATTATACAAAACTCACTGTTTTAAGGAGCTCAGACAGCCACGGACAGGGACAGGGACAGAAGGAGGGGAGCCCATCGCCATATCTTGGAAGTGGTACTCCCTCATGGATGAGGCAATAGGCAGCAGGCCATCCGTGCAGCCTCCCTGCCTGATTGCCTCATCCATGGGGGAGGGCGTTTCCACATCTGTGGAACAACCCCCTGCCCCCGTACAGCCAGAGGAGGTAGAGGAAGAGGAAAGCAGTGTGGCAGCCAAGAGGCCGAGGAGGGAGAGTTGAATTAGTTTTTTGGAGAAGGTGGAGAAGAAGGAAGAGGAAAAGGAGAAGCGAGAAGAGGAGAGGGGAAGAAGAGAGGAAGAGAGAAAGGAGAGACTGTTGAGTTTGTTGGAGAGAATTGTTGAGAAGTTGTAAATAGTAGATAAAAATTTATTTTGATAAGTGTAGTTTGAACTCTATGCATATCGACATACAATGATGAACACTATTTACACAAAAAATTTTTAATCAATTAGACATTTGTAAAGAAAACTATACATACATTCAACAATTTCTTTTTAGATATTTACATATTCAATTGTTTTTGTTTTTATTTAAATAGGCCAAAACACAGATTATTCAAACATTTAATTAATAGTCGTGGTCCCGAAGAGCTGGTAGCCTGGCCCTGGGGTGGAAAGTGCTGCTGCCATCCGTCCACGCAGCTCCTGTCCACACTGCTGATCAGGCTGGTGCTGCTGATGCTGGTCCTGCTCATCATCAGGCCCTGGCTCCTCTTCCACTGGCTTCTAGAGATCACCATCGCTGATGCAGATGTTGTGCAGGATGGCGCAACAGGCAGTCACCTGGACTGCAAAGGTGGGTTGGACTTCCAGTGCCTTGAAAAAAATGGATCGCCATCTTGCCTTCATCATGTCAAACTTTCTGTTACAGATCGTGCCCGTGCATGGTGCCGGTTGAAGCGGGCTTCCACTGGGCTCCAAACAGGCTCTCTGTATGGAGGGAGGAGTGTGATGGGCTGACGGAGACAAGGCTAGCCACCATCCCCAAGGAGGACGTGTCCATTTTGGGGATAGAGCCGGTGGACGTAGAGGGGGCTGTTTTTAAGCACTCGAGAATCGTGCACAGATCCGGGGTAGCCAACAAACAAATCAATAAATAAGCCACAGTGATTACACACAGCCTGCATTTGAATAGAGTAAAACAATTTCCTGTTAAAATAACACTGTGCATTTTCTTGAAGGAGCTTTATTCTAATGTGGCAGCCGTCGATGCTCCCCACAACATTATTGAGAGCAGCTGATCCAGCCAGCAACTGAAACCCAGCTGCAACTTGGGGAAGTTCCTCCAGGGAAGGGAAATGAATTATTTGGCCACGCATTTGAAGGATCTGGTTGGCCACCCTGTGGATCACATCGTGGACTGTGGACTGGGGCATGTCAAATGCCCTGGCGACAACACGGTACGCGGTGCCACTGGCCAACCAAAAGAGGAAGACCAAAACCTCCATGTCCTGGCTCCAGCCCTGGTGATGAGCACTCCTCAGGTGGCTAACCAGACGGGTGATGGTGGTTCGAGTGAGACGAAAATCGGGGCGAAGGTCAGACTGGCCATTTAAGTACATGCTGAGTAGGGGTACATGGTGGTTCAGTCGGCAGTACACCCTAAAACAAAACAAAAATTCTCTTAAACTTAATATGATGCTTCTAGATTCATTTTTTAATTCTGTATCTGCACTTTTAGTTATGAGTGCAGACACAGGAATAAGTAATCATTTTTCATTTTGAGATTTAAAAATGTAAATAAAAATGAAGAGTATATAGCTGAAGTCATGTTCTTTTGTGCCCTGGCATTGATTTTGCCAAATGTATTGTGTGTTGCAGGGAGCTGGAGCTGCCCTGAGACAACTGAAGTAGAAACCCTCACTACATCACTCGCACCTAATAACACACAAAAAAATCACAGAAGCCCTGTGCCCCATGGCCAAGCAAATTCTATTATTGTTTAATGATTAAGTACTAATTTTTCATTTAGAAAAAAATGAGTACTTAATCCATTTCCCTTGCTATGGTTTTGTGTTCTTTCAACCAATAAAATATTTTAATGTTCTTGCATTTTAAGTGAGTGTGTCTATACAATGTGTTTTCTTGTTGAAATATGTCTAAATGTATATGACTAATGTGTTTCTCATTGACTGAGAATAGTATTTTTAATTAGTAAGTACACCAAAAGTACTATAATTTACCCAGTTTAAACCAGATGGTGCTAATGCTATATAGACAAAGGACGAATACAATACTTACACGACGCCCTGCTAATGAAAGAAGAGCCATTCTCCTCCTCCGCCTCATCGCCTGTCTTCGCCTTCTCTCTGTTCGGCGGTTTTTAATTCGCATTATGAGAAGTTTTATAATTGTTAACAAAAACACCGCGAAATTCAGTGGAGGTGCCATTTCACCAGTGTTAAAGGAGCCGGTCAGGTGGCGAAAATATGAAAGACGTTAAGCAAATAAGTCAACCAAAATTCATAAATATGAATATAAATTGTAAAAACATTTTATACATGTATATTAGACAAATATTGATATTTTAATATACTTTTATTTATATATAAAATTATATTGATCCAATGACATGTGACAGGGGTGTGAGGTGGGCCGCGGCTAAAAATAGTGTGCAGCTGTCCGAATCGCCAACAGAATGAGTGCACTGACTCACTCACTCAGTCGCTATATAGTCCCGAACTATATAGTGAGTGAGTGAATAGGGTATAGTGTGGACATTCGGATACAGCCCGTGTCTAATATTGTTTAAGCTAATGCTAGCTCCCTGCCCCTTTCTGCTGCTTGTCTTAGCTGTACTGCATGTCTAAGATTGTTTAAGCTAATGCTAGCTCCCCGCCCCCTCTGCTGCATATGGTGACTGTACTGCACGTCTAATATTGTTTAAGCTAATGCTAGCTCCCTGCTCCTTTCTGCTGCATGTTTTAGCTGTACTGCATGTCTACGATTGGTTAAGCTAACGCTAACTCCCTGCCTCTAACCACCCCATGCTATCACTAAAACTGCATTACCTTTGTGTTCAGCCTGGTGCTAACCTCCTGTTCTCCTGGCTACTCACCACTGCTAACGCTGCGCCCTAACGCTGCGCCCTGACGCCGCGCCCTAACGCAGCGCCCTAACGCCGCGCCCTAACGCCGCGCCCTAACGCCGCGCCCTAACGCCGCGCCCTAACGCCGCGCCCTAACGCCGCGCCCTAACGCCGCGCCCTAACGCCGCGCCCTAACGCCGCGCCCTAACGCCGCGCCCTAACGCCGCGCCCTAACGCCGCGTCCTAACGCTGCACACTGTACTAACGCTGCACACTGTACTAACGTTGCACACTGTACTAACGCTGCGTCCCAACGCCGCGTGCCACTACTGCAGTGTTGCCAACTCCTCAGTAAGGAAAGTAGCTATTGGCTGTCCCAAAAGTCGCTAGAAGTCGCTAAATGACGTCATCGCCTAATTTGCATAATATGCAATTTGCAAATAACTGTAACGGACGCTGTAGGAGAGAGGAATAATGTCGTGGGAGAGACAAAAGTGAGTAAAAAACACCCTAAATATGTTTAGAACTACAAATGTACAAAAATAATTTCAACATTAACAACATTTAATGATTTTAATGCTTTGTCTAGATCTGTCGCTAGTCGCTTTTTTGAAAAAAAGTCGCTATAGGGTCTGAAAAGTTGCTAAATCTAGCGACAAAGTCGCTAAGTTGGCAACACTGCACTACTGCTGCTACCGCTGGCGCTACTACTAACACTGCCGCTACGCGCGTGCCGCGAACACTATTGCCGCACACGTAACCATAACGCTGCGTGCGCCAACGCCGCTAACCCCAACCCCCTTCGCTAATACACAGGTGAAGAAACACTAAGGCCTGACCCCAGTCCTAAACTACCTACTCGCATACACCACTGCACAAAGAGGACACAGTGGTCACGGCTTTGACACACATCAAGGTTTGCACCACCACACGAACAACAGCTGTACAACCCACTCTAAAACACTACTTTCCTCCTTTCCTTCTCCCACCGTGTCATGCACACACGCTCCAAGTCACACTCGCATACACTCACTCTCGCGAATATGGACAACGGTGGCGCCGCCTTGCCACGCCTGAGCGAACACGACGACGGGATGGAAGAACAGGATGTGGTGGATAACTTTCTGTGTGACTTTACCGAAAAGCTATCCCCAGGAACCTATGACACGCTTGAACATGGCTCGCCCTCTGTCTTACAGGATGCCACCTCCATGTTGGCATCCGAGGTTATTACAAAGAAACTCGAAGGTAAGACCCTGACCCAGTGGCTGGGACAACTAGCCGCAGTCTCCAGGATAACCTTACGCGACTCCGAAGCTAAGACAGAAAAGCTTCAAGACACGGTAGGTGAACTACAACGGCAACTAGCGGAAGCTAGAAAGTCCGTTGAAAACCTTAAAGAACAACACCGACAGGTAAGTAGAGACCACCAGCAGGGACTGGACGTGACTCCGGGCGCGACCATGGATCTCGATTGCGCATCGAGAATCAGGGCCGCTATGACGGCCAGAACCAGTCGGGACAATGCCTCCCGGTCACAATCCCCTCCCTCCGACTACGGCGGCCCATCGGCCGATAGAGAACGCAGGAGCGTGGCCGAACTGGTAAGTATTCTCACGGGAAAAGACCAAAATCAAGGAAAAGGGAAAATAAAGAACCCAACGATGCGAAACAGGCCCCGTCGAAACAGGCCCCAACGGTCCGTCGACGACGGACCCAACCAAGTTGCGCGCGACCCCGACCATACAACGGGACCGCACCCAACCACAGCCGACCCACAGCACAACATCAGACGCATCGACCACTTCGACCCCAGGCTCAACCCACCTACGAGCCAGGCGATGTACCACATGACAGACCACTCGCGGAACCCTAGGGACCTCCCCGTCTATGAGAGGCAACCCCCTTCCAGACCCGCCGCGGCACATCGAGACATAAAATACGAGACGCACGGCTACCAAACCCATAGACCCGGACTGACCGCGGACCACGGCGAACAACGGCCGGCGACCCGCCAATGGGACGGTGGGGACCACCACCACCATGGAAGGGACCCCCACGGCACCCCTCCGGGCACACACATGGACACGCTAAACAGACAACATGACTACCCGACCCATGACTCTGGACCACCTGACGTCCATACGAGACATGGTTCAGACGACCGCCATTGGGACGAGAGGGCCCAGCCTGAACATGGCTGGCAACCCTATAACGACCCCCCTGGCGCACATCAGAACATGCTACCTGGACCACACGACGTACGGTACTCTAAGTCTGGGCCGTCCGCATATGCTGCGACACAATGGCCAGCGACCCGCCATGGGAACGCCGGGGACCTCCCCATCCATGGTAGACAACCCCACGGCGCTCCCCCTGGCGCACACCAAGACTTGGCCCTAGGTCAACAGTACCACCCGGACTATAGAGGACGCGACGCCCACTACACGCCCCCTATCGGTCGAGACTCGCTCGGACCGTCCGACCGCGACTTTGACCGCATAGCCAGACACATAAACCGCTTTGACCCACGGCCCGGCATGCCTGCGAACACCCGGTCATACCTCCGCGACGTTGACTTCCACACTGACCGCATACCGTCCGCATCTCAAGGTGACAAAATATTCTTGATTAGACTCACGTCCAATAGAGAAGTGAATGACTTCATCGAAAGGCAACCAAAGGCCATACAATATGACTACAATGAGCTCTGCAAAGCCATCCTGGCAGAATACTCAGACTACGGTGCCTCCGGGACCCTCACGGCGGCTATGGCAGTCAAACAAACTCACAACGAGCTTGCGGACTGCTACTACCACAGGTTGAGACAAGCCTACTTCGGCAACCAAAACTACGAAGGGATGGAGGAAGATAAAAACTTCAAGGCCCTATACATCCAAAACCTCCACCCCAACCTTAGCCAACTACTAGGCGTGTACGCCTGCCCCCTTACACAGGACATTCGACAGCTGAAGACTGTAGTGGCAAGGGCACAGAGCAAACACTTACTCAAACCCCAAGTGAAGCCACAAAACCAGGCTACAGTGTACAGCGTGGACAAACACATGGAACTTGAAGGCGCGCCAACCACCCAAAAACAAAAATGGGGGACAGATCGGAGGCCCCAAAGCAATAACCAGCGACGCACAGACCCGAAGAACAGACAATGGCACGACCAAAAGTCCACGCCATTCGACGAGAACCGCACCGCCCAGCCGGACGGGAAAGACCGCGCACCGCAGCCAACTCCCCAAGATCGCCCCGCTACAACCATAAATAAAGCAACCTTTCCAGGGAAGAACAATCCCTCCTCCGCGCACTCCTGCGCAAAGCCAGGGAAAAAAGGCCAGACACTGCTGACGTGTTCGCAGTGTCCGTGTCGGATGAGACCAATGACAACTATCCCTACCATATGGACGACGACCTTAGCGTGCAACAGTCGGAGGACACCTACTTCGACCCACACGTCCTTCGGGACCTCCAGGACGAGGTAAGCGAAGAACCCAGAGACTCACACGCACAGAATGTAAACGCCCACTACGACCAGAGGGACGTCATGGTGATACAGGTAAACTCCATCACAGACTCACGAAGGGATTGCCCCTCGACGATCAACTGCGACCCACCGTTCCACCAGTTCATTGGAGATCTACAACAAAAAGGTACCTACGGGAAACTCTACTTGCCCGTGACGCTTGAGGACCAATGGGAACACGAAGCGCTCGTGGACACAGCTGCCGATATCAGCCTGATTGGCGACGATCTCTTTGGTAAGTTACAGTCCCTGGCCAGAGAAGCCCACAAAGACCTAAAAACACAGCCGTGCGACTTGGAAATACGACCCTATTCCCAGGTAAACACGACCATACGTAAAATGGCGCTGATGCGACTGACCGTGGGCCCCATGACACTAGTCCACCCGGTCTACATCTCCCCATTCAACGCGCATCCACTCCTACTGGGCCAGGACCTCCTAAATCGGTTAAAACCCATAATAGACTTCCAACGTCTAAAGATCTGGGCACAAGTCCGGGAGCCCTTACCCATCCCACGCCCGCTGGGTGAGAACCACTGCTACTTCATAGAAGCGCCGCCTGCAGACGACCTACAGCCCGCCGCGGCACAAACCAAAACCGGTCAAGGAACGCCCACAATCTGCGCGATCGGTCGGGCAAACGCCGCTAAAATGGACCCGACACAAGACGCCGCGCCCACGCGCACAACCCCCGACTTCGACAGGTCGGACCTTGCCTCCCTCCGATATGCGGACCCCACACTAAAACGCCCCTTCGACGGCACGATCAACACGACGCTCGAAATCTTTGGCCGTCATGAAAACAGACTGCCGATACGCCATGGGCTGTTAGTTTCTGCTTCCGGTGCACTCACTTGGTCGGTACTCGTGGTGCCTCGAAGCATGAGGGGGGTGATGTTGGCACACGCCCATGACGCACCTACCGCAGAACACAGAGGTATAAACAACACACGCCAGGAACTACAACAGGTAGAAAGGACGGACCGGACGGTGACTGAAATACTAAGGTACGTATCCCCAAACCAGAGTGACTGGAACGTGAAACTCCCCCGGCTCCTGAGGGCAAACCAATACAGGACTGACCCGCAGGACCACCTGGAACAGACGTTCACATTTACACAGAAGACACTGGGAGACAGCGCCGAAGGACGCAAAGCCTACTACGACCAAAAGGCGTCTCGCAACGAGCTCCAGGTCGAAAACCAGGTATGGTATTACACCTTTGTACATTCCCCAGGACAAGTGGGGACCGGCCCCACCAGACTACGCCGGGAACTGCTACCCCGCTGGTCAGGACCATACAGGGTGGGAAACAAACTCTCAACCGCAGTGCACCAGATCGAGGTCACTAAAGGTAGGAGAGAACCCACCCTCAAATGGGTTCGTCACAACCAAACCAAACCACACAAACAAAGCCCCATGGGACAAGTAGGGCACATTACAAACCCCAGTTAGGAACACACCACGTGACCTCAAACACTATTAGTCCAGCACCCACTAACCCTCTTCTCGGCTGCACTAATCGATTTTCTCTCTCTCTCTGCCTAACCCCTAACAGTTGTTTCACACTTTGCAGAACATGTGGCCCACTCTCCTCCTTGTGCTGACCTGCATACTGTGCCTCGGCACCCCAGAAATTATTGAGACCGGACCAGCCTCCGGGATCGTTTTAAAGGAACAGCCCGGACTCCTCATCACGGATGTCCGACTCCACACACAGCGAATCTTCGTCAGACTCAACCCTAGTGAGGTCTGCCGCAAGAACCTGCCCTCTAAAGTAACACTCTAAGACTGGGCGGGCGCCCGCTGGACCCAGACGGTTGTGGAGCACGCAGAGGCAGACATACAGCACATGCTGACACAGCTAGAGAAGTTCACGATCACTAGGACAGAGCTCAGTGCCCCTCGCCCCAGACCCAAACGATTTATTGGGGCTCTCCTCGGCGCAGCATCCGCCCTGGGCACCCTCTTTAGCCTGGGGATGTCTACGGTAAACGCCATTAGCCTATCCTCCCTCAGACGCCACCAGCTAGAAATGGCCTCTGAACTTGAGGACGTCAAAACCAGACTCGACCAGCAACAGAACGACGTGGTGAAAATCCCTGAAAGGAACCATGCTAGTACTTAACACACATGAGGTCGCGATTAAACGCACCTCCGCTGCGGTTAACCAACTCTTAGACGTTCTCCAATTAGACTACGCCCACACTCAGCTGACCACCCAACTGATGGATGACATGCTACGTCACTTCAGCTCCTCGGTCGAAAACCTAGCCATGGGCCGTATCCCTCCATACCTCGTGCCGCTGTCGCTAGTTGAGGACATCCTAGCCGTAGCCACACGGGACGCCGTAGCCTCCATGCAAGCCCACTTGGCGTACACGCTAGGCGCGGCAGTCCCCATCTACGTCAATCCACTGGACCGCAAGGTAGCCTTCCTAGTCACCCTACCGATAGTTCCCGGCGATAAAATCTACCGACTAAAAGGGATCACTAACCTAGGGACCTGGAAGGACGATGTCCACGTCAGAGTCCAGACGCCAGACATAGTAGCCTACCACGACAGCAACCCAAACTTGTACCTAACGCCAAATCTAAGGATGTGCACCCTCACCAAGGACATCCATTACCTCTGTCCCAGTAAACCTTTCGTCAGGGACAGCACAGATGGCATCTGCGGCCTGAGGCCCATGACTCCAGGGAGTCGATGCCCCGTAACGGTCACCTCTCGAAACCAGGTGACCGAAACCAGAGCAGAGATCGTAGGGGCAAGATGGCTAGTGAACACTCCCCTTAGAACGGCGACCCTGACCTATGACAAACATGACACCTCGTCCCGCGTGAACCTCCCGGATGAAACCTTCTGGGTCGACGTCCCAGCCGACGCTATCCTACACGTAGGCGACCTAGCATTATACCACTTGTATCCAAACCAGTACGAGGCAGAGGTCGAGGTACCAGAGTTCTTTGAGAAAAAGGACTTGGAACTTCAACCCTCCACCCTCGTCCAAGTCACCTACGAGGGGGCGCAAACCGTTGACGTTACGGCCGTAGACAACCTCCTTCAAGAGATTGCCAAGCGACCGACCATCAACCACCAACCAGTGACCTACTCATGGGCCGCCCCCGATACGGTCTTGGCCACCGCGGTAGGACTCGGGTATGGCCTGGCTGTAGCCATGGCTTTTGTCTTAAATAGACGGGTTAGACGACTCCGCGATAACTTTTACAGGTGCACGGAGGCAATGACGAGACGGATCCGTAAACGACCAAACCGGGTCGACAGCGCCATCGAGCATGGCAATTTAAGCCGGCGCCCCCAAGTCAACGACTCAGAGTACGAGGACCTCCAGAGCCACCCACTCGAGACGGTCACTCTTGCTATCACAGAAGGTGAACCAAGGGCCTAAAACCCAGCAGGAGGCACCAGCTCAGACCCAATCATATCTACCTCGATACCTAATCAGTCTCCTAGACAATCATACTTGTCATCCCCGTTTATATACAGGAAATTCCCCTCGTAATTAAAAGTCCCACTTGCTACGTCATATATTCTTGTAACCCTTATACTCCCCTTTTAGAACGAGCAAGATGGGAACCCCTCGCCATCGAGTGCCTTAATGACTCGCCCAACCGCTGCCAAGACAGCCACCCTTTTTGTTGATTTTTGAAGTTTCGTATTTTTGTATTCTAGTCCCCTAAAAATAGAAACTCCTGCTAATCTCTTGGCTTGGAACTTTGAGTCTTCCAGACCAAGAGACCCAGGAGTCAGGCGCACCGGCCCCAAACCCTAGAGTTCACGGCCCGTAGCTCACTCCCTGAACCCCTGATCCCGGTTAGAACTAGCCTGCAGGGCCAGGACTCGCCTTAGAGAAAACCCGGCCTTGACAAACCAAGCCGGAGGCCCGAGACCCAACCGCCACGAGCCTGGCCCAGTTAGGCGCTTGCGAATTACTGAGTCACATTAAGGCGAGAATGTTATAGCATGTCACCACAAATCACGCACTAACACCCGAACAGGCGATACGACCGACTGAGGACACCCGCCCGGCATATCCGACATGACATTCACCTTGTCGGAAGGTGCATCTCTGCCGTGGGGGGGGTATGTAAGGTGAATTAAAGGACACCCAGTCGGACGCTGACCAGCAGACCCGGATACGTAAACATGCCCTCCTGAGATTGACCCATCCTGAGCCACATCTAAGGAACGACCAGGTCAACCAGAGGACATCATCGGTCACCGAGACCATAAGTGTCAACCAGGGCAATAAACTGAGCCCCAGAATAAACATCTTTGTACCTTTCTGCCTGGCAGAGATCAGAGATCACAACTCTGCTCTTACTCCCGGGACATTCCTGTCCTTGGACAATCAACGAGCCACCAACGGCGTTCTGACGCCCCCCAGTGGACACTGAACACTATCACACCCGAGACGGACATTCTAAACCAGCTAAGTCATTATTCTGATAATCTGTACTGTGCCCTACACGTGTGTATCATTGTCAAGTAATGTAAATGCGGTGTGTGCCTGTACATGCGTTATGAATGTCTGTATTAATCCTGCGTTTTACCATTATAACATGTCTGTTGTGAAGGATGTCCAGGGAGGCGCACAAGGATGACGTCATGGACGCGCCTCCTTTTGGATAATACAAAAGCATGAGCCGAGCAAAGATACGACCTCTTGGATTTCCTGAAACTATTGTATCGACCTCTGTGTCCCGCGGGTACGTGTCTTCTACTACGACCCGCGCCTGCAACCCATTGAGGCCTCTCCACTCCGCGAGTACAGCCCCGATACTGCTGTCGGAGATCACGGACTGCTCCATCACTAGCCACTTTCCGGCTCTGGACACTACGCATACAACGCTTTCCGGATAGCGTGCGTATGCGTGGATCAAAGTTGGACTGGAACCGCTGGCTTTGTGTCTCCCTCCTGCTCGAACAAAGGAACACGTGGACTGGCCCTTCATCCTCAACCCTTTTTCTTCATCCCTCACCTCTCCACTCGGACTGCTCAAAGTAAGACTGTTCCACGCTAATGTGTGATTCATATGATATGCATAACATCCCCCTTTATGTGACCAAAACCCTTTTCGTTGATATTCTTCTATTTTCGTATGTAGTCAATAAACCCACGTTTAAGTCAAATCATCTTTAAGCGTCCCGTTTTTCAATCTTTGATGTCCCTGGCCGATTACGCACCCACCACCTATTAGATTGTAAGACTGATTTGAGGCAAATTAGTTGGATCTGTGCAGATGTTTTCAAACTCTGCTGGTGCCCAAAATAAAACTCAGATCCCCCTTTTGTGTAGAACGGCAAGACTCTGATCTGGAGACTAGCCGCACTACACTACAATTTTCATTACCCTACACATTTATATAAAAACACATAAACATATACATAGTCAATTAGTTATATAAACATATGAACACCAATATATATAAACACAGATGGATTTTTTACAAATTGTACTAAGAATTACACGGCAGTGGGGTGGAGTGATTTAAGAATTGGTGACCAAGGACAGAGGGGCTCTGCTGTGGGATGGTTTTCGGATGATATGTGATCATTCAGCATGTTTTTCCATATTGAAATGTTAATTTTTTTTCATGATTTCCCGTTTATAAGGAGGATTTTCTTGGCGACGGTTAGCGCCACCAGGAGGATGTTTATGTTTGGTTGTGTGATGTTTAGCTGAGTGAGATCGCCTAATAAGCAAAGTGATGGAGACAGTATGTGGCAGCCTAGAAGTGAGGAGATGGAAGATGTGACTGCTTTCCAGAATTCTAAAATGGGTGGGCATTGCCAGAGGGCATGAATATAGGTGTCAGATGTGTTTTGAGTGCAATTGGTGCAAGTGTCCGGTGAGAAACCCATTCTAAACATTCTATGGCTTGTGTAATGTGCTCTGTGTAGGATTTTGTACTGTATCAGCTGTAAGTTGGTGTTTTTTGACATGGAGTACACATTTTGACAGATTTGTGTCCAGAAACTGGCATCGAGAGCCAAACATAGATCTTCCTCCCATTTTGTTATAGGCAGATATATTTTATTGTCAGATTGTACTATAATTTTGTAGCTCTTTGAAAGGAGTTTTTTTGTTGGAGTGATATTGACCACATCTGTTGTGAATGAGGGAAGTTCTAAGTTGATGGTTGTGTTTGAAAATGCAGAGGTTATGGATGATGTAAGCTGAAGGTATTTGAAGAATTGTTTGCTCTCGATGCCATGTTCCCGGACTAGATCAGAAAAAGGGACCAGTTTATTGTGGTGGATAATGTGTTTTAGGTGGGTGATACCTTTTTCGGCCCACACAAGGAAATTCATGTTTTTTTTTAATGCTGAGGAAGTCAGGGTTGTGCCAGATTGGAGTATGATCTGATGGAGTTATGTGACTATTAGTTAATTTGTGGGATTTCCACCAGGCTGTCAGAGTCAAAGATATTGTCAGTGATTTATAAGAGGAGTATTTTTTGATTGAGGGGCTAAGGAATGGAAGGTCTGATATTGTATATGGGTCGCATAAAGCTTGCTCGACATCCAGCCATGTGATATCTGAGTTTTGGGGGTGAATCCATTTGAAGATGTATTGTAACTGATTTACAATTGAGTATATATTGAAGTTGGGTGCAGTAAGTCCACCCTTTGGTTTTGGGTTTTTGTAATGTGCATAATTTAATTCGGGATGGTTTGTTATTCCAGTAAAATTTTGAAATTGTTGAGTCCAGGGCTGAAAACCATGATGAAGTGGGATGGGTTGGGATCATATTAAATAGATAATTGATTTTGGGGAGGATCATCATTTTAATTGTCTTTATTCTGCCATTTAGAGAAAGCGGTAGGTTTGTCCAGCGGGATAAGTTGTCATTTATTGTTTTGAGTAGAGGAGTAAAGTTTAGATTTATCAACTCAGACAGCCTGGAGGAAATCCTCACGCCAAGGTAAGTGATGCAGTCTGTTGTGCAGATAGGGATTGGGGGTGAGTAGGTTACCACATCCCAACGTTCTTTTTTTTGAGGTGAAGCATTGAAGATTTGTGCCAGTTAATGAAATAGTCTGAAACCTTTGAACATGTTTCTATTAGATGTATTGTTTGGTTTAGTGAAGATTATGGGTTTTGTAGGAAAAGGAGTATGTCGTCTGCATATACAGTAGGTCCCATTTCGTTTTGTCGCCTTTCACGCGTGAATTGCACGAGGCTCACGCGCAAATCACGTGTCTTTTCTTTTTTTTTCCCCCAGTGACGCTGCAATGACCAAAACAACCACCAGGTGGCACGTGTGAGTCGCCTATGAGTTTCTGCCCCGCGCACATCGACAATCTGGTTAAAACGGGCAACTCCTTGTAGCAGGCCAGTCTCTGGAATAACCCGCAGACATTAAAACTACTGCATATAACGTAAACGTTTGCATCACGTTGGTGATCTTTCCAAAAAGAGAGAATATCGTTATGGAAAGAGAAACTATTGGTAATATAACGCTGAACGTTATCTGACTCAAACAGTCTGCTTTTTTTCCCACTCAGAAAAAAAGCAGACGCCTTTTCTCTGGCATCTCTAACATTTATAATAAATACATAAATATAACAATCATAATGAAGATGCTTTCAAATAATTTAGCAAGCTGTAATTCATTTATTTTAACTGCCAAACTTCTCTCGCTGCTCTCTCCTCCGCAAACCACTAAATGAGGAAAAGGGAATATTCACTCAATCTATTTTGAATGTTACACATACAATATTAATATAGTCTAAGCACGTGTAACACCTGTAGCCCGTGTATTTACCACAGACTGTAAGTATTAAAGTAATGAGGCCCCTGCTTTAGGCCTCTGCTGTGAGGCCCACACCGTCATCAGTCTCGGTGCCTCTAGATCACACGTCTGTCCTCGGACTGGAGTGTTCTGAGGCTTTAAGCGGGGAGTCAGGAAGGAGCGATCCTGTTTGTCAGCATGATTTTTTTGTTTAACAGCCTCCCTGCGCGATTGCAAATGTACTCAAGGGACTCCCATACCGTGGCTCACATATATAATATTATATAGGGATCAGGAGCTTTCTGACCCAACCCACCCGCACCTGACATGACTCATATTTTTGAGGCATCCAACCCGCCCGGACCCGCGGGTTGACTGCGGGTTTCGGGCCGACCCGCGCACCTCGCATGTCCTGTTCAGGGCTGCAGGAGCAATTGTCCATTATTTTAATTGGACTTCTGGTCCATGCACACTGTAAAAAAGAAAAAGTTAGTTCAACTCAAAATTTCAAAGCAACCAGCTGCGAAGGATTTTTGAGTTGAAGGCATTAACTTAATTCTTCAAGTTTTGAAGAACTACACTTATTAAGTTGTGTCAGTTAAGTTTTCCAAGTTCTGCCAACTAAGTGTTTAAATTCAAGTTCTGGAAATTTCAAGTCTGTAAAAACTTACTTTTTTAAGTTCAGATTACTGTCCCCTACAATAACTTACTATTTTGAGTTTAAATTAGCCCCCACATTAAAAGATCATGATGTTTATTTATATAGCGCATTTCATGGACCAAGGTCACTTGGGTAGGGGAAACCGGAGCACCCGGAGGAAACCTATGCAGACACAGAGAACATGCCAATTCCACACAGAAAGGCCCTGTTCCGACCGGGATTCGAACCCAGGACCTTCGTGTCAAGAAGCGAGAGTGCTATCCACTCAGCCACCGTGCCGCACACACTGTGAACCAGAGGGGAAACTTAATGTTTCTAAGACTGACCCAGAGAATATAAAGGGCTACTTTGGCTTGGCCCTGTCGATTACGGTTGGTAAAAATAAATACAGTGATTTTTTTGGTCAAATTAGTTTGTTCAAAATGTTGAATGCAGCTGGTTGCCATAACACATATTTAAATGAGCAAACGCAGATAAGTTGACCTCACTATAGCTCGGTGAACTGTAAAAACGACAACTCAAAATTGTTCACCTTACTCAGATTTTTGCATTCACTGACAATAAAATTTCCAGTTGGAACTGGAACTATCTTGTGAGCCACTTGAACTTTCAGAAGTTCACTACAACTTAAAAGTCAAATCAACTTAATATATCAAATAAGATGAAATTTTCATCAGAAACTTCAGAAAGTGAGTGTCGAAAATCAGACGCATAGGCAGGGATCTTTGCACACCAGAGCAACCTGGAAGTTAATTCACAACAGGTGGTAGATTCAGGCAGAACAATAAACAGGGAAACATTATATATTGGATATATTGGCGTCAGTTAGCTAAAACAACGGATACACAATCGTAGCAGATATACAATCAAACATTGTGTGTCTTGTACTTCTATTTTATCTTGTTTTTGTACTACTATACAGGCCATGGCCTTCTATTGTTCATAAGTTCCAACTGGCAATTTTATTGGCAGAGAGAGAGAGACGCGAGCAGAGAGAGAGACGTGAGCAGAGAGAGAGAGAGAGAGATGCGAGCAGAGAGAGAGAGACGCGAGCAGAGAGAGAGATGCGAGCAGAGAGAGAGAGAGACGCGAGCAGAGAGAGAGATGCAAGCAGAGAGAGAGAGAGCGCGAGCAGAGAGAGAGATGCGAGCAGAGAGAGAGAGACGCGAGCAGAGAGAGAGAGACGCGAGCAGAGAGAGAGAGCAGAGAGAGACGCGAGCAGAGAGAGAGAG